GAGAGAGAGAGAGAGAGAGAGAGGAGAAGGTAGAAACTAGTATTCCTTCAATCTTACTTTCAGTGCAAAATTTGTTGGTATCTCACATTCATACTACCGTACAAACTATGGAAAAAAGATTTTATTCATCCATTCATTTGTTCAATCAAGAAGGAACCATACACTTCCCTTATTAGATACACACAAAATGCAAATCTACAATAACATTACTTTAGAAAATTGTAATTTAAAATTGTAACCCTTGAATCAAGGTTTGTTGACCTACTTTTTTTTCAGGATGATAAACTTTCAAATGTATTTTGAAAGATAATATGCCCTTTGAGCACAATATTTGATTGAGATAGGTTTATTTATTTGTGGATTTTTTTCAACCAATCTTGAACTTCCATATAGTGATGAAATCGGACCTTGTAATCATCTTCCACCAATTTGAATTTTAACTTTTGCATTCCATTTGGCTTTCTTTTCCTTTTCCTTGAGCAATCAAGGAAATATATGAAATTTAAGTGGAAACATACGAAATGTTGCCGTGTGACAACTTATGGTGTTTATATAAGCCTCCTCCTTTATAGTACCAAAATCATTATTTCAATAGAAAATCATGGTGAAAGTGAAAAGTGTGGTCAATCTGAAGCCAAATTTATGTTCACTACCATTCTAAAGGGGGTTTGGATTGGTCTTTCTACTTTCTACATTTAGTAGATATGGAATGTGCCTTGACTTCCATTGTAATGCTTTTACTTTGTGGTCATCAATAATTTTGTTCATGATTAGAATGAGTAAGTTTATATATGTTTCACATTAAATGATTATTGTTGTGTATCGGTACTTTCTTTTCATTCTAGGTTGATATCTCTGCATCCTTGGGTGAGTGCATCCTGGATTTCTGTATTCCTATAGTATATCTTTTATTAATAAAACACAGTTAATGTCTCTGTTTTGTTCCCTCTTCTCTTTATTGGCATTTTTGTATGGCAGCAAAGTGCCCGGGTAATATGTGATTGCCTGCTCATAAACCAAGATATGGTGTATGCTTTAGCATGTGACAAGCCCAGGATACCACGACACAAGTATGTTGCATTGACCAGCACAAATATGCCATGTTGTGTCTACTTCTGGTCACATACTCTGGGCATGAATCTGGTAAATTCCAGTAAAACATACTGTTAATTTGATTGTTCTTTTTATTTTCTGTCAGCAGCTGCTATTTAATGATACAACAGCAGAAACCTGCCATTCAGAATTTCAATCAGACCTCTCAGCATTTTTGTTATCTTTTGATTATATATCTTGGTAATCAAAATGGATCTTATCCTATTCATTTTTATTTGCTTCAGTTGCTTCTCTTGAATTGGCATTATTACAATGTTTCTTTGTGACTACAGCATGTTAATCTTTCTTTTTGATACAAGCGCAGAAAACCTGGTGTTTGCATTTCCTTTTTCTGTGGTTATATTGGTTATCCAAATGATTTTCTTCGCCTTTTCTTTCATATTTCTCTCTTGTTTTCTTCACAGAATCATATTGACAGCAGATTATTGGTGTTCCTGTTTCTTCTTCTTCTTCTTTGTGCTACCACAGTCTCCATGATCCAACGTGCTTATGAATTTTTTGTGGAGCTAGTTGTTAATACAATTGCCAATATGTTATTTCTTGACAAGGTGATGTTTCATTCGGACACGACCTATATGCTAGAGGGCTGCTTGTAGGCTTCACAAATGTCATGCAACAGATCCGAACCCTGATCACATACATGACCTCAACTAAATTAAGATGCACACTGAATGATTAGAAACGCTGGATCAGCTAACTGATATTAGCAGTTAAATACTTAATGCTGTTCATTGACATTTATGCTTTGTCAACCACAAAATACAGAAAAAAGAAATCAGCAAATTGAGTAATTTTGATCTGAATGACATCATAATGCATAGTTTGACAACAGTCGGAAAGAATAGTTGCAGTATGGCTATTATTATCATCATAACTAAATATCAACCATTTTCAGATATTAAGATAATTGCATCGAGGATTAATATGGCAAAGTAGGGCTCGGTCTTATATACCAACAAGACGAGCTCGTGAGTGGCAGTTAGAGTCTGGTGCATATCGTCTATGCGGTGTTCTTATGGCATAGACCTGGGACGTCAAAAATGACCCCTACTCTTCTTCAGCTTCATTGCATCCTCTACTAGTGCTTTTGCTGCAAGCTGATCAACTTGAAATAGGCACCATTCCTGTTCTCAACCAGAGTGGAGTGGCTCCCCTGTTCCACGATTCTCCCGTCCTGCAACACCGAGATGACATCAGCGTTGTGAATGGTGGAGAGCCTGTGCGCCACCATGACGGTGGTGCGGTTCCTCATGACCCGCTCCAGCGCGTGCTGGACCACGCGCTCCGACTCCACGTCCAGCGCGCTGGTGGCCTCATCGAGCAGCAAGATGGCAGGATTCTTTATGATGGCTCGGGCGATGGCGATCCGCTGCTTCTGGCCTCCCGACAGTTGGATCCCTCGCTCCCCTGCCTTGGTCGAGTAGCCCTCCGGGAGAGCACTGATGAAGGAGTGGGCGTTCGCGAGCTTTGCAGCCTCCACAACCTCTGCTTCTGTGGCACCGTCCTTGCCGTAGACGATGTTGTCGTAGATGGTTGTGGCGAAGAGCACGGGCTCTTGCTGAACCATGCCGATGTGCTTGCGGAGCTCCTTCAGTCTCAGTCTCCTTATATCTTTGCCTGCAAACCACACTCACTCACAGAGATCAAGACCAATAAAAGAAAGAAGAAGAAGAAGTACTTGGGAAGAGGAGACGAGCAGACCGTCGATCATCACTTTTCCAGCAGTCGCATCATAAAATCGTAGTATCAGAGACAACACCGTGCTCTTGCCTGATCCGCTCATTCCCACCAACGCCATGCTCTTCCCAGCCGTCACTCTCAGATCGAACCCTCTGAAGATTAAGACATCCGGCCTTGAAGGATAACAGAATTCTACTCCTCTCATCTCGATAGCGCCCTCGACCCTTCCAACGTCCTCCCCGACCTCGGGCGGCACCTCCGTCCTTCTATCAAGCACCTCGAAGACCGATGCTGCCATTTGATTCCCTTTGATGATGTCAGGAGCCAGAGCCAACGTTTCTCCCATGGCTAACGCCGTCACTATGAGGACCATGAATGATTTCATCACCGACTTGAAGCTGGCAAGCCCTTTGCCCATCAGGACTGAGCCATACCTGCACAAATCATAGATTGCACTGTCACCATTATAACATACAACCTCTGATAGCTGAAACAGATCGTAGCAATTCATTCGAGATTAGGCTATACGTGAAGCACAAGAATCACAAAAGAAGAAAGTGCATCCATTGGTTACCACAAAGCAAGCCCGTACGAAGAGAAGAGGAAGCACTGGGAGACGCCGTAGAAGATGCCCGCAGTCTGCCCGCGTCGGAAAGATCGCCTGGACGGCTCCCTGAGCTCCTCGACGTAGAGATCGATTACTTTTTGTTCCGAGCAGAAGGCGGCCACCGTTCGGATGTTGCTCACAGCCTCAGCAGCTAGCATGTTTGCTTTCAGGTACGTCTTGCTCAGGTTTCCTCCATACCCCCTCATGAACAGCTTCTGCAGTGCGTCGCATATGAAAAGAAGAAGGAGAGAACGGCTGACCCTACGCAACAACAGGCTAAGACTGCATGCGAGGGAAAGGTGGGTGTACCTCACTGATATGCCCACTGACCATCAAAGGGTATGTGGCCAGAACCACCAGAGTTATTCGCCAATTCAAGATGAAGGCAATGATCAAGGAGGTTACGATCATTCCGATGTTCTGCAGGAGGATTGTGGAACGATCCACCACGATGGTCCGCAGCAGAGTGGCATCCGTCTCAAGGCGCGACGTCAACATCGCGCTGGTGTTGCTCATGTCGTCGAACCAACCGATCTCGTTCCTTAAGATCACTAGCAGAGCGAAATGCAGAGGTTATTTCAAGCAGTGATGGAAGACGGAACAGAACACTCTTTATAGCTGGTTGGTTCTGTTCAAGGACTTTACCTCCAAACATCCTTTCCCTCACCCGAAGAGTTAGCCTTTCGCCCATGATGCCAAAGTTGAGGTGTTCGATGACGTGGAAGAACACGGTGAGAACGGCCCCACCGCAGAACAACAGTGCGATCTTCTTCACCTCCCTCTGGGTGGTTTCCCAAACCATGTAATAGGAAACAAGCGCCTGGGTAACTCCGAGCGCAAAGAGCGGCATCTGGGCACCTGCAACGAAGGCACCTAACGTGCCAATGACTCCAAAGATCCAATCAGGCCTGACCATGGAATACAACTTCTTGAGAGACACAGGCTTCGCTTTTGCCACATCGGTTGCTTCAGGGGCATAACGACTGCCGGAGTCCTTATCAGACCTGAAGCTCGCCCCCAAGCTTGTGTTTTTTGCGGACAGCTCTCTGGAGTATTTGATGCTGAGATCACCAGATGGAACGAATCAGAATCCTGCGCATCAGCAGAACAGAAATAGTCCGAGCCGAAGCATAGATGGATGTTCGTTCACCTTAGCGGTCGCCCGATGCTCGGGCCCTCCGCCGGCGATGGCCGCTGATGGTGAGCAGTCTCCTGGAG